TGTCTGGATGATCCCCAGTGAAAGCGGCTGCTGGAAAGGTGGCACTGAGTGGCAAGAGAAGATTGCTAGCAGTTGACAGAAGCGGAAGGGGAGAGCAAGCTTTCCTAGAAGTTTTTTTGACTACTGGGGGTTATGGTGGTCTAATCAGTAACTTAATTCGTGGAGTAGGTGTAAGGTTTTTCAATCTATTTTTTATTGTATTTGGGGAAGGGGTAAAGAATTGGCAACAATTAGGGGAATCAGAAGTGCAGAATTTAGTATTGACTTTAGGTGTCATAATTGTTTAGCCTAAACTGGTCCAGTCATGTGTTGCAACTTCATCTTCAAATCAGAAAGGAGTTTACCTCTTACAGGGATTTAAAGCAACAGTGGCAAGACTCCAAAAGGTTGTCTCTGGTCAATAGAAGATGCAGATATGTATAGTTTTGTAATAAAATTAATGAAGAAATGTGTGTATGCTCAGCAAACCAGCCCAGAGGGGGTTTTTCCTTCCCTTATCCATTCCCAGAGACTATTAGTCAGCCTACAATCATAATGCCCTCTTTTCAATTTTCTGTCTCTCTCTCTCTGATTCACTCACTCACTCCCTTCCTTCCTTCCTTCCTTCCTTCCTTCCTTCCTTCCTTCCTTCCTTCCTTCCTTCCTTCCTTCCTTCCTTCCTTCCTTCCTTCCTTCAACAGTGTTTGTTTAGATACTCATTTTGTTTTTTTATAGACAGCTACACGCAGGTCAGTTGTTTATATGTAGCCTCCATTTCTTCCCAGTCCTTTTTTTTCCTGTCCCCTTTTCAATTTCTTTGATCCATGTTGGAAATGTAACGTGGATTGGCTGTAGAGTGGGGAAATTGGCTAGGAGATTTCTAGCCTTTGACAATCCTGAAATTAGGAAGGGCAGAGCATGGTAGAAACATTGCAGTAATTCTGTCCCACAACTAGGCAGAAATGGATTTCTCAGTGCTTGGATGGATTGCTCCATCCTCCATATATTTTTCTCAGCTGCATGGAAAAAGATGCAAATGAAACTAATACATAAAATAATGGCCACTGGAGATTGGCCAAGTAGTAGCATCTGATCCACTCTAGGAAAAAAAGGAAAAAAATCTTGAAAGGCTCTAATGTAGTATTTGGGACTATTTACTCTGAGAGAGGAGTACTAGCACATTAAGGACCAATTGCTGATAATGGCAGAAACTCAGGGTTTCAGGAGGCAGGCTCCAAGGAAACCAGCTTAGCAGGCTGACTGGACTAGGTAATTTCCTAGTCAATTCAGGCTGGAAGAAACTGTTATATGAATTTTGGGATTTGGTGCTGAGCTGCAGATAAGGATACTCAAACTAAGAAAGCCTGGGTCTTCTGGGTGGAAAGGGAAGAGGCAGGTGGCCAGGATTAATAAGTACATATCATAGATTTGCTGTCATTCAGCACCAAGTTTGCATTAAGTTGCTAGAGGTTATCTTGCAGGATCCAACTTGAATTGGTCAATGGGACCAAGGATTTATTCTTCCAAACGTTTGGGCTCATGCTGAAGCTCATCCTCAGGGAGCTCCTTTCTCTCCAGAATATGTGTACCATGTGAGCAACTCAGATTGGATCCTGCAACATTATCTTGAGACTTGTGTCTTTTTTAGTTTACTTTAATCCCTGCTGTTTTAAAGTATGACATGCAGTGTTTTTAATTCCATGTTGTGGATTACAAAGAAGGGTTTCTTCAAAGCCACTAGCTGTACAAAGCTTTGAAGCAAAGTTTATCTTGTAAAACCCTATGAATTTCATTTACCAATATGCTCAGGAAAAACATGGCATTAATATCCCCAGAATTTATGATTAGAGACCCTGATGTCATCAATAAGAATTCTAGAGGAAGATGAAAATTTTCAAAAGTGCATTGGAAAAGCAGATTAGTCTAGGCAAGTTTTGTTTTGTCTCTGTTAATGTTTTGTCTCTGTTTTTTCTTTTAGATTTTAATTTCCTGAATAAAATACAAAATAGAAATTTAAAAAAGAAAAATTTGGTTATTTTAGAAACAGTATTGTATATACACTATGGTCATTTTTTACAAATCAAAATGTTGTGCCTTGTGCCCTAGTGCAGGAATCATACCATGCAAGTTAAGCCAATATGCATTTTGTACAGTATATTCCATTTCAGGTCTTTTCCATGGACAGAGCATAGAACTTTACAACTGTTTTTCTGAACAGATAGTTTAAACAGATAGTTTATTGGATTAGTACCAAATATACATGATGCAGTTTGTTTAATACTTACTGTACCATATAGATGGGTACTGTTGACAAAGTCCATGTACTACAACAGTCATCTACTCCCAATGTTCAGGATGACAGCTTCATTACCCCAGTCTAATAAAGTAGCATAGTATACAATAGTGGCTTGTAGTTTCAGTATATCCAGATGGCACCAAATTGGAGAAGATTACCCTAGTTTAGTGTTTCTCAGTCTTGGCAATTTCAACTCCCAGAATTCTCCCAGTCATTCTAGAGATGAAGTCAACACATCTTGAAATTGCCAAGATTGAGAAAGAGTATCCTAGAGCAAGAGTTGAATCTGTTGCCAGTATTGGTTAAAATGTTAATGAATAAGTGATTACTAAAGTAGGAAAGTACAATTATGGAATGCTATGTTGCTGCTATCTTATACATATATGTTCATCTACGGTAAGAGTAAGTTTCTCTGACTCAGTAAAGTTGGGCAGGTTTTAAGAAGACACGCACATTGCACTACAGAATTATACCTTGCACTAAGCCTTTGCTTTTTCTTTTTCTTCACACTCCTCACTGGGTTTCCTAATCATGAATGAACATAGACAAGAATTGTTTTCCTTACACCTCTGCCAAATACTCACCCACATACTCATACCCATACAACCTAACACTGTTTTTGCCCAATTCTTGCCACCCACATTTGCTTCTATTAATCTTTACAGTATTTCAGCTTCTTTATTGTAATGCTGCAAACATCAGCCCTATTTTGTCATAATCTTATGTGACAGAAGAGAAAAACAACAATGAATTTAAAGTTCTTTGGAAATAGTGATGTGTGTATCTTTAGAATATGGAGTTTCATCTTAGACAAGCAAGCTGTTTTTCTAAATGAAAGAGCTGGCAATGTAAATTAAATTGCAAACAAATCTTTTCATTTTTTCCCCTTTTGGATCTTCTGTAGATTTCTGTCTCCCCTTATTATTATTATTTTCCCTTTGGGTTAGACCTTTCTCCATCTCTCTCTCTCTTCTGAGAGGGACTTTCACAGACCAGTCACTAACAGGAAAGTCATATGTTTATTTATTAGCAGAGAAAGGGGTTTCAGCGTACACAGTGAAAACTAAATTTAGAAACTACCAAAATACGTTCTACAAATCCTTCCTTAATGAAAATCACTCCATTAAAAGGAAGCAAATTCAGACCTTGTATTATACTCCTTATTACTTACAGAAAGAGACCAACATCTATTTCCATGTTAAAAATAGTCGTTAAGGTGTTCAAACTTCATATTCTAACATGTCACTTTGGTAGCACAAATTTGCCTTGAATTTGGTTCTTGTTTTCTCTCACAAGGTTTTCAGAAGAATTGTGAATGATTTGCCAATCACTTAAATGCTGAGGAGTACTACAGTACAAATAATGTTAGGTGTTAAATATGTTTTCAGGTTTTTTTCATTCTATAATGACCAAAGCCAGCTTTCCATGAAGATGGTAAAACAATGTTTGGGTCATATTTCTGACTGCATGAGAGAATCTTGCTTGCATGAGTGACATTCTGTTCCATGCAAATATACGGTAAGGAAAACTAATAGCTTTCCTTGACTGCTCTCTTTCTCTGTGGAGTGGAAGTTTCGAGGGAAAATAATTCATGCAAACCTTCAGGGTGTGCGGCACACACATACACAGAGGGAAAGAAACTGAAACATTTCTAATAAAGGATGCTATTCTGAATAGTTTTCCAAAGTATTTGCTTTCATCAACAATTTTTTAAGATCTTTGTTGGAGAAATATTTTCTTCATGGCTATTGATTTAAAATATAAGCAGTGGAGTTGAACACTTTTGGTGATTCTGGGACAAATGGCTAAATTCTAAACAAGTATTTAAATCTGTAGGGACAGGGTTGCTTTTTCTTACTGAGTTTTGGCTGGAGAATAAGTCAGCTGATCCAACATCTCTTATTCATCTGCCTGGGGCAAAAGCTGTCTTTGTCACACTCCTGGGACCACAGCTAGTTGGAGAGTTTGGAGCACTTGGGAGCGAGGGTATGGCGAATATGTTCTCCTTTTGTTCTGCTACTCAACTCCCCTCTAACAAGTATCTGATATCTTCTGAAAAACTTCCTTAAAGCATTAGGTTCTTCACCTCCCTTCCTTTGCTTTCGGGATAAGCCCAAATACTGGCATGACTCAACAGAGCTATACAGAATAACTCTGCTGATGTTTCCTTGTATTTGGGCTGCAAGCTAAGAAGCTACTTGGGGAAGGTTAATCAGGGACAGAGATGGCATCCAGCCATTGTTTTTCTTCTCAACTCAATGTTGCCTCTCCACAATCTCATGATAGGGGATGGGCTTTGGAATTGTTAGAAGTAAAGTCTTCATCCTGGTTCATCCAAGCCGGGAATAAATAAGCAAACATGGCGACTGCTTTGGGAAGAAGGTTACAGTTTATTGCAGAAAGATGGTCTTCAGGAAAGTACAGAGAGAGAAGGAGAGCAAAAGGACTGAGCACATGGGGCAGTAGGCTTTTATACCCCCTCTAGCCTTGTTTGGAAGTTTCCTGTTCCTGTGGCATGAACCTTGAGGCTGTTTCTGAGTGTTTGTCTAGGCCTTGATATCTGTGGTTTAATTCTATTATCATATCCTGCTTCCCAGGTGATGGGGCTGACTCCTAGAGTTTGGGTGGGGTATGCAGATCTTCTCTTTTGTCTTCTTGATTGCTCTGGCTCCAACTTTCTGATGGTTTTACATTTGCATTTGTATGGGCCTGGCTCTTGCTTGGGACAGAGAGATAGATTTGGGGCCAAGTTTGGTTTTAAAAAGTCCTTTTGAGGAAAAATATATTTTTCTGCCCTTTTTAATATTTCCTTCTGGGCTAACTTTCATCAGAAGTGCTTTGTGTGGCACTCCTCCCCCTTTCATGCTGGCGGTCAGTACACAGAACAGCATGCGTTCTTTTCTTTTTTTTTCTTTTGCTTCTTTTCTTAAAATAGACAACAATGGTATATGTGTATAGAAATTCTGAAAGAGAATCTTTTGGGGCAAGGGGAAGTCCTGCTGCTTCTGAGTTGCTTTCACCCTGCCTAAAAATCAAGATTTCTTCCCTTCCCACTACTTAGAACAAGCACATGGGTGCCACTTTGTATTTCTGACAACGGTCAGGGTGGCATTTTTTTAATTTTCTTCTTTTTAAATTTTAATGTTCATCAGATCCATGTGTCAAAATTTGATTGCTCTCTATCTCCTGCAAAAAGAATGTTTTCAGTGATTTTTCTCTCACAAGAGCTGCTAGCTTTGGCCACCATTGCCAGTTCTGTCATTTTTATTAACCCAGTCCCTTTTTGTGGGCATTGTAGAAGTCTTTCCAATGCTGAGCATATAGAAGTCTGTGCTGCTGCTATCATATATAACAATAAAACACCATGAGATTTTTCCACCGTTTTATTCAAAATCCCTAACAAAAAAATTTCCAGTCTAAATTATACACTAATTTTCAAAATATTTTGAATTATATTACTAATTTTGATCTAATATTGTTTAACTCATTTACAAGTCAACCAAAGATGATAAATGGTACCTCTTTTAGACTTACATTTCCATAACCATTTGGGGATCTTTTATATCTTTAGCCAATTTATCTGGGATAAATACCATCTACACATCATTTTATAGAAATTTTCTTTAAGGCATAAATTTCAGTCTCTTTAGCCACATATTTCTCCATTGATCAATTAGTATATTATATTGAAACTTTTTAAATTATGCCCAGCTTATTATACAATTTTTAACTATTCCGTCTTCTGTTTCTAATTTTTAACAAACCTCTTCCCTTTACCCAGAAATTGAAGTTGGTGTTCTTTTCCCTGCCTTAGTAAATATGATTTAATTACTACCCTGGGTGATGGTAAAGAATATAAAATTATTCTACATAGATTCATCCCATATAAAAACAGAGTGCAATTTGCTGTCAAGATAGGTAGCATTCATTCATGCAGTAGACCTACATCTCACTTTTCCTTGAGAACTCAGAATGGTACATTTAATACACTTTCCTTTAAATGCATCTTTATTAACAATAGCAGCCTGTGAGATTTGGAATCAGTCACTGTCTTCATGCCAAAGGAATCTTGTCATCTCCTCTATGAATCTTGAAGATGGGTTTTCCTGTTCCTAAAACTACACAACACTTGTTTTCTTGGAAAATGTTACACAAGCGGTATCTGCTAAAGAGAGCCAGAACCTTAGAGAAGCTGTTGTACTGCAACTCCTGCAAGTTCCTTCTTACCTGGGAATTCATCAACTGAGCATCCTTGTTTCTTTTAGCATTTTTTGGTGCTTTTGTTATCACCTGCTAATAAAAGCTAATCAAGAAAGCTACCACCGAAATGGTTAGGAATGGCTTGCTTCTTGTTCTTTCAGAATGCTCCCCTTGACATTTTGTGACTGGACATTAATTTTCTATTCAAACCATTTTCTGGATTTGGGGTAGGATGACCATGGCATTGTGTGCCCCTGCACTTGAGCAGCTAGGCAAGGCAGCAGGACCAACTCTATTCTACCAAAGGATTATGTGAAGGCTTCAATTGCCAAAGCCATGATGGGTAGCAAAGGTCAGTATTTCATAAGTTTGGCTGTTTTTTATATATTGAACTTACTCCTTAAATTTCTTTGGGCTACCTCTGACTTCCTTTCTGCAGTTTGCGTAATATTGCTTAATCAAAAAGGAAATCATGTAATAAATGTATATGAATGTATGTAGTAAACAATGCTTTTGCTCCCAAGACCTAGTTGGTGAATCAAGGATCATGTAAAACACCGTGAATTTGGCTCCAGTGGGACTGTTGTTGCCTTGTTGCTAGTGGCTTTTAGTTTTTCCTCGCTGGCAATTTAAGCCATAGTGTGAGAAACAGATTGTGTTTCCTCCTTCCCAGCAGTGCTGATGAGGATTTTCTCCAAAAGTTCAGCATTCATTTTCTTTGTGTCCCTGCACATTGAAATCCCCAGCCAGATGCTAGTCAGATGTTTGATGAGGTGGTGGAACCTTGAATACCCAGAGCCTGATTCTGCTGTGGCAGGGACATATGCACAACATTACATACACCCTTATTCAGCACAGTTTGGGGGTTGGCAGAAGTGGTAGTGATGGACGTGCAGGGAGCAACCCATAAGAAGCTACAGGAAGAAGCTTTTGAGGGATAGCTGCAATACAGTTTGCCATTTGCAGGAAATGCATTGCTGTCCACACCCAGGTACCATTTGTACCTTGACCACCAAGGGAAAGACTAAGAAGGAACTCCCTTATCTTATCAAGGCTGCTCTGCTTGTCTGCTGTTCCTAGATTGTGAAGGCACTTCAATCTTAATAGGCATCTCCTTTTATGACATGCAAGGGTATCAAAGAACAAATAAAGACCAGTGCAAAATAATTGCTGCTCCCCATTCCTCTCTTCTTGATTGAAACAAGGACAAGCTTTTATTTTCTGGACAACAATGAATTGTAAAAGCAGTTTTCCTCAAGGGAATCCTGGTATTTCTATGAACCCTTTCATGCTGTAATATTGTTGCCTTGCCATTATATTGTTGATTGAGGTAAAGATCTGAAAACCAAAGACCTGCTAATTATACTGCTCATGGAATGGTACTTTGTCCAAAAGCTTCACTTTTCAAAAATCTTTCAGTGCCATTTAAGGAATTGTAGCACAGCCCCAGTTACAATCTTGTGATCTCACAATATTTTAACACACATTTTTATTCCCTAATAAATCAACCACAGCCCTGCACTTACAGGTTTTACCTGCCAATTCAAGAAAGTAAATTGCCCCCATTCTTACCAGCATAGGGAACTATGGCAGGAAAGAGATGACTTTGGCTCACGATCAGCTATCCTGAGTTCTTTGGCAGCTCTAAAATGAAAAGGATGAAGCCTTTTTTAGCCCACAAAGGACATTTTTTTCATGTACTAAGCTTTTATAAATTGAATGCATGGGTGGATTCAAAGAAAAGGCTGGGGTTTAAATGGCAAAGGCAAAAATTGTAACGTTCAACTATAACAGAGTCCAGCTATCCAGGGATCATGAGGATCACTATGTCTATGGATAACTTGTTTCCCCACAAATTCCTTCTTCTACCTGTTGTCATTTAAACTAAAAGAGTTTATTAAAATGGAAAACCAGTATAATGCAAAATAATCACACCATTTTTTTCTTCCAAGAATGTCACTGCAACTTATATAAGCCACATACGTTTTCTTGGGAAATGAAAGTGTCTGTTTTACCTGAAAGCATATCCAGAAAAAAGGAACAATTGCTAAGCAATAGAAATCTGTAAAAAGCTGCTTGAGAAGGTGATGCCAGGAAGAAAATTTCCTTTGGAAAAATGGCATGGTATGGAAGCCTCCCCATTTTGAAAGAACATAAGGAACATGTTCTTGAAAACCCAGATGTGTCCCAAGGATACAATAGCAGATCACCAGTAGGGAATTTTCACATGTATGGTTAGTATAACCAATGTGTGAAATTTTGGCTCTCCAGACAGAGTGATGGCTTTGGGTGTGATGGTAGAAAGGGAAGGATACCTTGCATGTAGCTGGAGGAGAGTGTTGACAGGCCAGTGGTATCTCATACCTGACTTGAATATATAAATTAAGCAAGCATTGGTGTTAAACGTTTCCAAGTTGAGTGTTACTTTCTGATTGATTGAATTCATGCAGCTAATTTATGGTACAATACTGTACATTGTATGAACCCAGCTAAGGTGATTTATTTGTGGTTTAGCATGTGTGAATGCAATCCTTATTTGAGAGTTCTCTAAACATGACATAAGTCATGGAAGGAGACCAGTACTTTGCTCTATAACAAAAAGATAGGGTCCACTATGGAAGGTACAGAAATGTCAAGATGGCAGCCGCAAATTCAGATTCCCTTCCCCTTTGGGGCGTGCATTCTGGGCATTAAGCATGCAAAAAAGGGACAGGTCTTTCTTTGTGCAGTCATGGCTACCATCGTGACATTTTGCTCTGTCCTCCCTGCAGATGCCCATATCATGATTTTGTATATCGTTGTTCCAACTAGTAGACAACCTTTTTCAGGATATTCCATTACCACTCTAGTTATCCCTTCACCACAGGAACCAGCCAGCCAGCATTCTATAGCTACAAAGCAGAGTCTGTTCTCACTGAATTCTTTCTTGACATGTGGTCTATGTATAGAGAGAGTATTCTTAAATTTTTCTTTTGTATCTCTATAAACTTAAGCCTTCTCTTGCCTTCCATTTGCTCAGGAGTGCTTTGCTTTAATTACCAACTCTCCAAAATACTTTTTCTTAGCTCTTGCATAAGATGAGAGGTCTTGTCCTGCTTTTATTTTCTGGTTTGCATAAAGCAGGAAGACAGTGAAGAAAACAATGCTTGCATGTAAGAGGAAGAGGGAAGTTCTGCTATGTCAACAGCTTTTGTTTCATCACTGCAGATATCATTGAAGGGCTGGTCCTGCAGGATTCTGGCCCATAATTCTATCATGTTTCAATGCGAAATAAAACTCAAAACAACTTCTGTGCCTTGGAAGAAACTGGGTTAGGCAAGCTGGAGCAAACTTGATTTCTAACAAGGAGGGAAAGATGATCACCAGGAAACAATGTTTCTCTGTGTTACAGTAGGCCTCAAGTTGGCCGCCATTTAGATTTCTGTAGCAGAAATAAAGAATAAATGTGCAAAAACTTGTAACAAAAATAGCATTTACAAAGACTGTGATGGTGAGGAGGGGGCCCTCATCTCATTAACTAGAATCCAACAGAGATTGTTTCGTATTGACCCAGCCTTGTGTGCTGCATCCTGCCCATCCATCCCCCCACTCCCCCCCGTCTTCTCTCTCACATGGCAGAGTGCATTTTTCTGGGATCTCTGTAGCATTGTCCATGCATTATGGCTGTCATCTGCCCGGATTCCTGCAGTGTAGGTGAAATAATTGCAACTAGATATTTTAACATATTGTCAAAATCACAAAATAGTGTTGCTAATTTTAGGTGGGCCCAAAGTACCAATAACTCATCTTTTTAAAGATAGAGAATGTGGCTAAACCTATACAATAAATTTGCTGGTCAAAGTCTTGGAAAATTCAATCCGCCTGAACTCAGGAAGGCTGATCCCATCCCAGTGGCCTCCTTAGAGCCACATCTTTCCATTAATTTGTGTCATTATGGGTGGGATGTTAAGATAATTCACTGCCTTTGAGGTTTGTCTTCTTTGGGCTGGATTATAAATGCTGAATGCAAGTAGCTGTGTGTGGCAGGTTGTCCCCAACACTAAAAATAAAACCCACAATTTGCTGTGCCACGTATTACTGAGCTTAATTGCTGCCTCGGCATTGCATACATGCTCTGCATAGTGCTTGCCAACCTGGGGGCAGTCTAGGACAGAGAATATCCTGTGGGAGAGCACAGTGGGAGAAAGCCACACTGTCCTTACTGATGCTAGAATTATGCCATCTGCTGGCGTAGTTATTGTATTAGTGTGTTCCAAGAACAGATTTTATAAGAAAACTAGAGGGACTGGATATGCATCCATTCTGATTTTATTGCAAAAAGATTTGTTACCTTAGCATAAACTTAGAATTTCTCTCTGCATTGAGTATTGGTTCTAGGTTTCTATCCAAAATCTCTCATTGCCATTTCAGATTTAATTCCTCCCTCAGTTAGGCTTTCCATTTCCCCAAATTGGACTAATCATCAGTGCTGACAGCAGCCTGACTCATGTATTTCATCAGTCCCTGTAGATCCTCCACAAGCTCAAGGAAGCATATGAGGAGGAAGTCTCTCTTTTTATCTTCATGCATACAACCTGGTGAGGTAGGCTGGGCTTCATAAGAGTAAATAGCTCAGAGACACTTAGTAAGACCCAAGCAGAAAGAATACTGAAACTGAGTCTCCCCGCAACTCCAGTACACACATTGTCCATTCTTTAATCCAAAATGTGTAGAGAGTTTTGGGCTGCAGAAAACTGAATTAGCATTAAGCAGTCTAGAGCAGCGGTTCTCAACGTTTGTGTGACGGCGACCCCCGTCACACAAACGTTATGCACATGCCGCCCCCGGAGGGGAGAAAATGGCGGATCGCCGCCTTTGGCGACCCCCGAAAAATGGTCGATCGACCCCAAATGGGGTCGCGACCCATACGTTGAGAACCGCTGGTCTAGAGAATCATGGCTGCAAAAGGAGGTCTTTGAAAATGGGCTACAGATTAAATGCTTTGTTGTTAGTTGCAGAGTTGTGTCCAACCCATCGCGACCACATGGACAACGTTCCTCCAGGCCTTCCTGTCCTCTGCCATCTTCTGGAGTCCATTTAAGCTCACACCTACTGCTTCAGTGACTCCATCCAGCCACCTCATTCTCTGTCATCCCCTTCTTCCATTGCCTTCAATCTTTCCCAGCATTAGGCTCTTCTCCAGTGAGTCCTTTCTTCTCATTAGGTGACCAAAGTACTTGAGTTTCAACTTCAGGATATGGCCTTCTAAAGAGCAGTCAAGGTTGATCTCCTCTAGGACTGACCAGTTTGATTGCCTTGCAGTCCAGGGGACTCGCAGGAGTCTTCTCCAGCACCAGCACCATAGTTCAAAGC